TTCTTTTTTTAACCAATTTTGATTCTAAAAGCTTGTATCCAAATGAAAAATATCCCAATGACACTCTGAACGACATAATAAACATACGTTTCCGTGAAGTTCTTTGCTGTCTCAAGTCTTCGTTAAATCTTAATTAAATCGCGTTTACAAGTTTTTGTTATCGATTGGGAGTGACACCAAAAGGAGTCCTATTTTATTTCCAAATTGTGTCTTGGGCTCATACATCTGTTAGTTGGCAGCAACATAGAAATTGACTTCAGTCTCATTTCCACCTTCTCTTTCACAAATTCGCTAAACGTGTCTGTCATACAAGAGAAGAGCAACGTGTTTTAATTCCCACCAAACTGCTTGGCAACTTCCTTAACAGAGTCTACAGAAGACATCTTTTCCAAAACACACTGTTGTTTTCCAATCAACTTCTTCATCAAACACACCATGCTGTCGTCATGTGCAAAGAATACTCCTGACATGTAGGTGGGAATGAGCGAAATTTGTTTCACTCTGGTCCAAATACCTTTTGGTTGTTTTCTCAATGTCAGTGCGGCAAGTTTGGCAATTTCCTTGTTGATCTCCAAGAAGTAGTACTTTGATTCGTTGTAATTTAACCCGAGATTTGACGCTTCTCCAACGTCTTGCATTAATCTGACTGATGTGAGTCCATCAACCAGACATTAGGATATCTTGACAACCAACTGTTTGCTACATTCGGACTCGGGACTGGGGGATTTGGGGGATCGGGGGACTGGGGACACGGGGACACGGGGGTTTTTTGCCTACTTGAATCCAAGCCGGCATCTGTTTGATTATACATTGTTATATAGTATAATATTATATGTTGTAAAATAAAGAAGAAAAAACAACCTTGCATTTCATTGTGATTGAATATGAAATTTGTGTTTAAATATAAAATTGTTCGTTATTTTTTTAATTTTTGTGTTTCTTTAAGATAAAAAATACGATAAGTTATAAATACAACGTTGAAATACAAACACATTGGATCGTTTATACGTTTTTTGAATTTTTTAGGTTTATAATGCATTGAATGTGGACAAATTGTCTGTACTCTCTATTCAAAAACTAACTATAAACAACATTGAATTATAATCTAACCTTCTTTTTTTCACATTTACAAACAATGTTATAATGTATAATTATTATAATTATACTTTTTTATTCAAATTGTAAAAATAACAGTCAAAGTTTTTATTAAAAATACAAATAAATTGTTTATTTAAAATAAAACATGATGTTAATTTTAAATTAAATTAATTAAAGTATGTTTAACGATTTTCGATGTGTTTACTATAATTCTTATCGATTTACAAAAGCCTTTTTATATATTAACATAATAATGACGTTTTTATGTTTTGAATAATTTTAATTTATATTTAACTGTTATTCAAAAGACAAAAATATTGAAAATATTCTATAAAAATTTTATCAAAAATATCAAGTATTTTTATATTAATATCCCACCTAACAAAAAAATCGTTTGAATTAATTATTTAAATTTTTTTCATTTGTTTTAAAAAGCCTTTATTCTATATAATAAACATTATGACAAACAGGGTGGAAAACGGGATTCTATCAGCGCGTTCAATATGGAAAAACCAAGTTTTTTCCGCGCATGAGGAATAAATATTTATTATTAATTTATAGTTTTTTGTTATAATTATAGTTACATCGACGCTCAAAGAGACGCTTTCTTGACACGTTGCATATACTTGAAACTATTTACCAATCTAAAATAATGGTAAATATTTAAAAGTAAATAAAGTTTTTTGAAGAATAGTTTTGTGTGGTTTTGTAAATAATTTTTAAAAAAATTCATTATTGCATAAAAATAAATCATTAGTTCATTTAACCATAAATTTAATTATTGGTAAAGTCGACTGTATTTTGTCAATAAAAACATAAAATAGTCAATAAAATCATTATAACATTAAAAAAACATAAAAGGAACAGTTTAAAAAACAATGCAAAAACCAAACTAAAATAACAAACTCAAAAATCAATGTTAAAGTCACAAAAAGAATTTTGTTACACCGATACAGAAAAAATTCTGAATTTGACGAAGTGTACACGAGAAAAATTTTCTTCTTTTTAGATGGTAAGAATTGTTCGTGCATACTCTGTGGATATTCACATGAAATAGATGCAAAAGTAAAATGGGACTGTACCAGACACTTCTGGAGTCGTGGTCGTCCACAGGCTTCTGAAATTGTCATGAACAAAATAAACGAACTCTATAAAAAGGTGTACCAAACAAACAAAAACAATGGAAGTACAACCGAAAAAATAAAACGTTCATTCAAATGTGCTTTTGATTTAAGCAAAAATTTTCTTCCTCTCGCTGTCGGAAAAGTAATCGCAAAACAACTCAAAGATAAAGACCAACACGATTCAACTCCTCTATCTAAAACAACTCTCGCAGAAAGAACCCTTTTAATAGGAAATAATTTGGATGAAATGATGAGGAACGTGTTGTCAACGTGTATCGCCGCTTCTTTTTGTGTGGATACCACAACGGATTGGGGAGGTGATGATTATATAATATTATTTGTAAGATACACCGATGTAAAGTTTAAAATCAACGTGTCAATTTTGGACTTTCAAAAATGTTGGGGAAAATCTGGTGAAATAATGGCAAAACAAATATTACATATCCTTCATAAATATATTGACTTAAACAAAATTGCGGGTTTGACGGGAGACTCTTGCGCTTCAAACTTTGGTAAATATAATGGTGCACTTGTTGTTTGTAGTGAGGGGATAAAAATATCATGTTTAGTTGCAGGTGAAATCAACGAAATAAATCTTATTAAATGTTTTATTCACCAAGAAGCATTATGTGCCAAAAGTATGATAACAGAAACTACAAAAGAAGAAAATGAAAGAAAGATACGAGCTAAAGATGGAGGTATTCTTGGTGTTTCCGATCTTTCAAAAATTGAAGAATTCCACACAATTGCCACTGTAATATTTAAAATCATTACTGCAGTTAGAAAAAGTGCGACAGCAAGAGATAAATTAAAAGAATTACTTAAATCAAAAAACTTGAAAGGTCTTTAAAAAAACATTGATATAAGTTGGTTTTCAAACGAAAAAAGTTTCACTCTTTTTTTATTTGTTTTACCTGAAATTGTATTGGTACTTTCAACTGTTTGTATTGATTCTTTGCAAATTAAATTGAGTGAAAAACACAAATATCTAAAAACAGAAGATCTTAACCAGGATGTCGAATTAAACATTGAAAAAATTAATTTAATTGTTCTAGAAGAAGAAAGTATAAACTTTAAAATGAAACAACATGACAACACAAAAAAGGAAAATGTGGGAGAAAAAAAAGATGGATATAAATCTATTAGGTTTGGAGTTAAAAACTTAATAAAAATTCAAAATGAAAACGTCATTAAAACTGGAAAATATGAAAAACAACTAAAAAATATTAAATCAAAAAGTATAGTTTACTTCCAACTCCAGTCGATCCAAATTGCCCCGAAAGAACACCAGAATTTCGAGAAGTTGAAGAAAGAAAACGAGTGACACGCGATGAGACTTTATGTGATTATTTGTTATGGGCAATATCGAACAAGTATTTTTGTTTGATTTGTGTGTTTTGCACGATTTGACAACAATATTTAATAATATTAACTTGCGACTTCAAAAGAAAGATGAGAATATCCACTACTATATTGTACTAATAAAGGGTCTGAGGGCCAAAGTTGACCAAATTGAAAACTCACTGCGCAACAATGATTATTCGTTACTTCCAACTGCAAACGCATTTGTAACAAAAAACAAAATAGAAGTTACTATTCCTATACATCTTGCAGCTATTATAACTATGAAAGAACAGTTGGCTTCAAGGTTTATTGAAATAGATCAACTTTTGTTTATGGACGACTTCCTTAATATGACGTGCATTACTCAACTTTTTGTCAATGAACATAATTACGAAATAAAAAACGAAGTTGAACTTTTTTCTTGTGATAAAATGTTTATTAAAAAAACGTTGTCAGACCGCAAACCGAACCTGTTGTGGAAAAGCAACCAGTTGAAAGTGAATTAATTAGTTCTACTGAACGATTAAAACAACATATTTATAATCCAATGACACATCCCGATTGTTATTACACCATTAGAATGTCAATAAATGAAATATTCAACGATGAATACATCAAACAAACATTTATTGTTAATTATCCAAGACTCTCCATGTTAGCAGCAAGATCTTTGTCATTGTTTATGACTTCATATTCATGTGAACAAGGATTTTCCGCACTTTTTTTTAATAAAAACCAATTTCAGAAGCCAATTGTCAGATGATATATTGAGGGCAATGATGATTATAGCAAATACAACACTTACCCCTGAATTTGATAAATTAGCTGAATTGATTATGAAAAGTTGTTGTTTTTTGTTTACCATTTTTATCGTTTCGCCGTTTATTTTTAAATATTCCCATTTATTTTATTTTCGAAATAAATGTTTGATTGTGCTTGTTTATTATAAAAAGGTAATTTTTCTTTAATTGTGTTTTTATTTTTCAAATTGTAATAATGGGAACTTTAAATATTTTTTATAAAATGGTTTTTTGGGAAAAGTTTATCTATAAATCCCAAAAATGTGTAATTTTATTTTTTTCTCAATCAAAACTGGTTTAATAGGCAATTTTATTATTATGTATTATTTAATATTTTAATCCACAGAAATTATTAAATTGCCAATTAATCCAAACCTCAACGCGCCAAAAAGTATCAAAACGGCGACCCTGATGACAAATAATAACTTTTTTATTGAATAAAAATAACATTTTAAAAAACAACAGGAACAACAAAACAAATGTCGTGATGACATCTCTATTAATAAATCCAACAATCTGAGTTATTTTTACATCAAATTTAAGTTGATTGGGTGTAAATTGACAAACATAAAATATATTTTATTGTTAAAAATGTTTACACTTGAATATTAAAATTTTGGTTAATTAATTAACTCGCATAATATATTTATTACCACACTAACGTACGACAATAAACAAACAATTTGTATTTTTATTGAAAATTTTCTAAAAAATGAATTTATTTTTAAATAATAATTCTCAAAATATTACTTTTTAATTATATTTCAACCAATCTCATTGTTTATTAAAATTCTAATTTACAACAAATTAGATTCACAATTTATTTTAATAAATCAATTAAACTTTCTCTAAGTTGACTTTAACCTGAGGATGGTGGTTTATAACATTATTTGATTTTTTAAAAACGTTTTTAAATTTATGTGTTGGGGAGGTGGTTGTGATAACTCCGATGATTGAAATTTCACCCCAATCTATGCTTTTAACTGACTCGCCGAACATGTGCGTCTGAATTTTCACAAGATCTGTACTTTGAAGAGTTTACCACATACTCGGTTCACGAAGAAAGTTGCTGTACTTTGATTAACAAAAAGTCATGTCTGAACACTTTTTAATGGAATTCTAAAGTCAACTTAAAAAAACGCCCCAAGCCGTTTGGACCATCTCCAAAGCGATGTCATGGAACTCTTCGGAATTTTGAATTTAAGAGAGTAAATTGGCAAAGATATCTAAAACAATTGGGACCGTCACACCAAATAAAAACATGTTATTTCCTAAACCCGAATTTCCCTTGTCTGTTGTAAATCCACTTGAAATTTGTTCTGAGATATTCAGAGAAATACAATCCAAGTTGTCGTTGCCAACTTCAAATTCGGGTGTCTTGAAGTTAAATTTTAGGTAATTTTTCTTGTCCGAAGTTGTAATTGTGTTGGATGCATTCTCTTTGTTTGGGGGTTTATTCGTTTCTTGGTCTTTTGAGACAGATTGCGGCACGCAAGGGGATTACATAGTATTATTTTAAGAAACCCACAACAATTCAACACTGTTTGACCAATACCAACGACGCTGTCTGGTAAAAAGAGTATCCACAGATTGTAAAATTGTTCAAATAAGTTTCCACAAAGTTGAGTGATGTTACCAATGATAAAAAGAGTTTTAACTTTGTTTGTTGGCAGTATATTAAACCACTTAATTTCACATTTCAACTGTTTGAGTAACATACAATTGTTAAAAGTGTTTGGTTTTATAGTTGCAACTGAAATTGGAATTTCAAGACGTTTGATGTTAGTTTACTTTTCAAGTCTATTTTGTAAATGGTTTTTGTACATTCTTTGATACTCACTTTGTTATTCAACAAATATTTAGCATCCTTTCCATTGACATTCGCAAACTTTTGCAGTCCACAAATATCGTCTTGTCAGTTATTTTAGTGGTTTCTGGTCTGACCAACTTTTCTAAATTGACTAGTCCAAAATTAAGATGGTACAACTCTTTAACTTCATTGTTAAGTATCAACATTTTTATATTTTTGGATCAAAAAATTGAAAGTGTTTTAAACTGCACTTCACATTTCTTAGTTGTGTGCAAATTTTTCATGTTGCACGCATTTCCCAGGTTGAATAATATCGACGCTGTCTGGTATAGACAAAAACGTTAATGAGTCCATTCCAAACAGTTCTCCTTTCCAATTTAATTAAACCACATATTTAATTTAATTATATTAAATTAAATATATGACGTGGCGTTTATTTAAATCAGGGTGTCAAAAAATAAGCTATTGAGCCCAAAACTGCAGAATTTTATATGAAAAAACTTGTTTTTATTTTTTTTAATGCAAACTGGCGGGAAAAAATACCCAAAGATTGTTTTTTCAACGAAAAAAAATATTTCCCGATTTGTTGCGGGCTTGTTTATTGAAAAAATATTTGTTAGAAAAAAAATGATGTAAATTTTCATAAAAAAGTCAAAAAATACCATTTACAATCAATTTTACAAGTTTGAAAACTTTTTTCATATTAAAATACATGAAATTAACGATTAAAACATCAATAAGATGTTTGTAAGATGGAACAAAGATGTTTATATTATTGATGTAAAGATGATAAAAAAATATCTTTCATTTTATTTCAATTTGTTGTTACACATATAATGAAGTTGATGCATAAACCATGAATTGTGTTATAACACAGAGTAGACATTGCACACATTAAACAAAAAAATAATTTAAAATACCAAATTTTTGATTTTACAACTACTAAAGTTTTCAAAATAAAAATTCGTATTGAAACACAAAAGAGAATAAATTGTTATAATTAATCAGATAAAATTTTGTTCAATTTATCAAAAAGTTGAATCAAATTTGTCGGTAATAATAAATTTTGTCATTAATAATGGATTCATGTATATTTTTTGGACAATTTTGTAAACAAATTTAATAAATCAAAAATAATATAAACTTTTTGTATCGATATCATGATTATATTTATTAATTTGTTTAACAACTTGATTTTTTGTCAATAAGATATTTATATACAATTGAATAACAATCATTTTAAATTATGTATTACAATTTCTACATAAATGATTATATTTTTACAACACCAAATCCAAATGATAAATATTTAAAAGTTTTAAAGCAAAAATTTCAAAACAACTGTTATAATTTATGTTATTATACTTCTACGTTGTTTATGAGTTAATAAATATAAATTAATAAAACTTAAATATTTTTAGATAACATGTAATGTCAAATTCAATCATTTTTTTACACATGGATTTCAAATTAAATATATATTCATTTTTGTAAAAATACATAAAAAACATTTCAATTGATGTTATATCTTATTTTTTAGAAGCCGAAATTTAAAACATAGCTAGTATCGTGAACAATGTTATTTATAATAATTTTCGAAACAATGATTTGAAATGAATGTTAAACTTAAAATTTCGTATTTAATAATCACATTTTGTAAAAAATATTAAATATTTAAACAAAATAATAAATGTATATTTATGTATCAAATTTAATTTTAAAACAAATAAATAAAATAATATTAACAATTTGACACAGAACAACATCCTTGTTTTTTAATTGACATGTTATTACTAAAATATCAATCCAATTTTTGATGATTTCCCCTTATGCTTTTTTATTTTTATACACAAAATATAAACTTTTTAAAAACCAAATTGTTTGATAAACAAGAGTTTTCATGTTTTTTAGACCACTTGAATTTTGTTCAATGTTGTTAAAATATTGCATTATTAAAATTGTGTAACTAAACATACAAAACTTTTGAATAAATTGACAAAAAGTGTTGATGAATATTTGAGTTTAAATAATTAAAATATTACAAAAATGAAATATTATAAGCAGAATTGTTCCAATTGTTACTTTTACAAAAATTATTTAGTAACACACAGAAAAAACGTTGCTACGTATTATACATTACTAATTAAATTGAATATATTATTATAAAAGAAATACAACTGTATTAAGAATAAGATAAATTAATTATTTACAATAAAACCTCTCATTAACAAATCACCTATTAAGAAACATTCGTGAAAACAATAATCATTAATATATGTGACACTTAATGATATTGTAACACTGCTTAAACTATAGCATCTACTGAAACAATAATAACCAATTGATCTCACACTTGATGGTATGTAAACACTGCTCAAACTATCGCATTCATAGAAACAATATTCACCAATTGATTTAACACTTAATGGTATGTTATTACCAAATTTCTTTCGATCATTTTGAGTGTAAGTAACATTTTTAAACTCGATGTTTCGACTTTTGTTTCTGTCAAAAGTTTCAAAGTCAACATTGAACCACACAATGATTCGAAAGAACTCTCTATTTAAAACAATTTCATTTTCACAATTTCCATTTTGTCTTTTGTTGATCATAAATCCATTGCCAAAATTCTCACCATTTACATCCCACAAGTGAAATGTTTCAATGTTTGGAAAGTATCCAAGTGTTTTGGAATTCAACGGAATCGGGTTAAAATGGAACTTCTCCATATTACCACCAAACTTCTTGCACACCAACTTCAAGTTAATAAAGTCGTTGATAGTTTTGAGGTACTTCGAGACTATCATGATGTGATAACCAGAAATTCCACGCATTTTGATATTCTCAGTTATTCAGTTTTTAAATATTGAAAAATTCGTTTTTTGTAAACAATTATAATAAATTATTGATTAATAGTCATTCACAGTTTCAAGCTATTAAGGAAATATCGTAAAATATACTATTCTTAAACAAAAAATTTTATAATTAAATATAATACATCATTTTAATGGTTTAAAATCATTTTCAAACATCACCTCAAAT